CTAAATTAAGATTGGAGGAAAATATATATTCATGCACACTGTAAAAGGGCTGCCCCCCTTCTGCTCCAGTGCCCCCACGCCACCCCTTTTCATTCTATCGCCCCCCTGAAAAATGAAACCGCCCCCTGGGGGGCATTATCGCCCATGTTAAGAACCACTGATCTAAACACTTCATCCTGCTAAAACTCAGGTCTAGTCAACCTGATGTTCTTATGGAAAGCATTCATGTGAGCCACTGATCTTTGTGTCATGAGTCCTTGCCGAAGGTTATCCCTCACTCTGGCTACTGGGGGAGGAGAAATCTGATGGTGATTCAGCTGTCTGTGATTCTGATTGCCCAGCATTTTCCTCAGCTGTAATTAACCCCTCAGATTCCAGATCTTCGGCTGAATTCACGACACCTAACCAGCAAGTGAAGAATCCTTGCTATCATTCTCAGGTATTTATTTATTTATTTATTTATTTGATTTATATCCCACCCATCTGGTCTATATGACCAGATATACCTGTGGTGCTGGCTTGGTGCATGTGCACACAGCACTGGGAATCACAGCAAGGACTTTTTATTTGCCAGTTAGAAATGGATTGAAAGTTTTGAATTTTATTATGTTATGCAACAGGATTTCTGCCAGTCTACTGTAGCAAACTACTGTATCCTAGTTTGTTTATACAGTATTGGAAATGAAGACAGCACTTCATGGATCTTATAGAGTGGGCTGCAGTCCATCAAAGGTTGTGCAAAATAATACTTCAGGATTTTTAATCTGCCTCAAGACTATTTTTCAGAGGGTGGGAGAAGGATGATCAGACCATGCATTTGAAGACTGATGCCATTTTGGTAATCAGCTGAAAGTGAATTTGAGAATTTATTTCACAAACTGCAAATTATTGCAGTTATACTAAAAATGAATGTGAAAAAACTCAAAGACTGCCATGGTGGAAGTCATATATTTCAGTACAACAGAGCAGTTCATAATACATGCCAGACTATGAGTATTGGTTAGACATCCTGTTGACACAAAGCCAGTACTAAATTAGAGATGGGCACAAACTGGTTTGTGATGGTTCATGGTTTGTGGCTACCCGCATACCATAAACTATCATGAACCACCCCAAAAACAAACTGGTCCACAGTTTGTTTTTTGGGTTTGTGCTAGAGAGGGCTACCTGGTCCTACACCTCTGTCTCCTCTGCTGCTGCTATGGGCTGCTGCCTCTGCCTCCTTTGCCACTACCGTGGGCTGCCTCTGGTGGTGGCACAGGCAGCAGGGTCAGGCATCAGGACCAGGTAGGTGGAGGGATGGAGGCAACAGGAAGTGGAATAGTGGGCCATCCTGTTTTGCTAGAGCAAAACAAAGCACCAAGAGGGAAAAAATTGTTCTTTGTTTTGCTGTGGCAAAACAGGTTCACCAAACCAGGTCACAGACAAAGCCATCCAAGAGGGAAAAAATTGTTCTTTGTTTTGTGGCAAAACAGGTTCACCAAACCAGCTCACAGACAAAGCCACGAACCAGCCTGGTTCATCAGTTTTTCCCATTCATAGTTTAGTTCGTGCTCATCTTGGATGCATATTGAGCTCTCATAAAACATTGTGATAGGATTCTTTCATTCACACTGCATGCTCAGCATGACAGTTTAATCATGCTGCTTAAAGGTTAAAACAAGTATTTCCTAAATTATTCTTCAGCCTCACCAGATCTTTTAAAAAATGTATTAGGGAATATAAGTGTGATATTTTGAGTTTAAATGTTATTATTGTTTTTTGTTAGTTGCTTCTGATGGTTGTAGTGTATATAGAAAAAAAATGAAAAGTTGAACATCCCATGCAGGGTTGTGAACTTTTCAGTTGGTTAGGCTAGCCAGAGGAGATATTTATGTCATCTTTCTATGACTTTTAGAAATGATCAATACAGTAAGTACATGTTGTATTGAAAAGAAGATTGGCCAGAATCCTGGTGTTTTAGCATAGTAAATTGCACTAAAGTAGGCCCATTTAATCAGTGGGGATTAGGCATGCCAATTCCTCCATAAATTCCTTTGGTTCAAATAGGTAAAGGTAGAGGTTCCCCTTGACATTTAGTCCAGTTGTGTCCAACTCTAGAGTGTGGTGCTCATCCCCGTTTCCTAGCCGTAGAGAGTTTCCATGGTCGCGTGGCCAGCATGACTAGACATGAAACGCTGTTACCTTCCCACCAAGGTGGTACCTATTTATCTGCTCGCATTTTTACATGCTTTTGAACTGCTAGGTTGGCAGGAGCTGGGACAAGTGACGGGAGCTCACTCTGTCGCGTGGATTCGATCTTACGACTGCTGGTCTTCTGACCTTGCAGCACATAGGCTTCTGCGGTTTAACCCACAGCGTCACCAGGTCCCTTTGGTTTAAATAGGCCTACTCCAATAACAATTTCTTATATTAAAGTAAACAGTAATTTGAGTAGGGCAATTTGAATCAGTGGAACTTACAAAGGAGCTGAGTCACTATGTCTTCGTTGATTCAACAGGCCTAGGCTACTACAATGTTCTATTCTAAACTAGTGGATTTTAGACATGAAGATCTTGTTTTCCATGGAGAGCTACATTGACACAGCTGTCATTTCTTTCTTGTTAACCTGTGTCAGTATGTATGTATGTATGTATGTATGTATGTATGTATGTATGTATGTATGTATGTATTTATTTATTGTTTGTTTCATTCATTCATTCATTCATTCATTCATTCATTCATTCATTCATTGGATTTTTATCCCGCCCTTTTAGACAGGAGTCTACTCAGGGCAACTCACAATATATATTAGAACATATGCAAACCTCCTTCAGAATTAAACACTTAGTTATGAAATATATGGGCAAATACTTTTAATGAGACTATTTTGATATTCATTTTTGCAGATGATGAAGATGGCATGGACTGCATGGACAATGAAAGACGACCACATTTCCCTCAGTTTTCTTATTCTGCAAGTGGACGGGAATAACTCCTTATCTGTTTTCCTGCTTCACAGTCACATTTGACTTATCACTGAAAATGGTTCCTGAACATCAACACCATTACTTGCTATTATTTAGCAGAGCAGAGCACTTTCAGAGATCATTCAGAATTGAACAAGTTCCCTTCCTGACCAGTCAGCCTTTCTGGTTTATATGCATGACATTTTATATTGGTCTAACATCTCCTGCTGTTACTACTGTCCGCTGTCTCAGCATGAAAGTAACAGTAAGAATCTATTTAAAATGTTGTGATATTGTGACAAATTCCCAATGATGCATTTTATGCACAGCTGGCTAACATTCTCTTGTGTTCCAAGAGCAAAGGCTGAAGGACATGTGGGACTTGAGATGTATTCCTCATTTCTTCTAGAAGACAAATCAAATTTCTAGTAAAAATGACCATGACATTTTCTCACATCTGTTTGAACTAAACAGAACCAGGAAACATAGAAAGTGGTGGTGTACATATGCAAAGCGTTTAGTAGGCATATCATCACTTGAATCAGACTTGTCATTAACATCTGGATGAAACCATTCAGGAGACGGACTAATAATTGTTAATATATATAAATATATATATATATAAATATATATATATTATTTTTTAATTACTGTTGGATACTACACAAGAAGCAAAAAGGTTGGGTTCTCACCTATCCTCCCACTTAGACTTCCAGATTCATGTGCAATTATGGAGAATGGGACCTTTAAAATTCAAGAAATTAAGGCATAAAAGCAGCATTTGAAATTGTTTAAAGGTCTTATGATTTGCATCTCACTCATGCTTTTATTTCTTTGTTGATATACATCACCTCTGGAGGCTGAAGAATGTAGTCAGGCATAAACAACATTGCTTTTCACCAAAACTTGTACACTAAGGCAAACAGGAGTTTGCCTTACATATTTTTATTTTTAGTTCGTGAATTAGTTTTTTCTTCAGGTGATTTAACTGAATATTTTTGTTACACTTCAGTAGTATTTATTTTTAGTGACAACGATTGTATGTGTCATGTTTGCAAATGCTGCTATATCCTAGAAGAGGCTTATCTTTTATTTTGTAATGTATGGAAGGACTGTACAAGCTGAACAAAATAATGCACTTTTTCTCCCATGTGAAAATGTTAACAAGTTTCTGAAAGCGTACTTTGTACTTAGTATCAGGTTTCTAATATTTCCTTATGGTCAAGAAAATCCCAAAGCCATGTATCCAGAGGGTTTCTGCACTCTTCACTCCAGGTGAATGTAGAATAGTATCACTGAAAAGATCTAGTTACTAAGTCAACAACAACTATAAGGAAAACACTTCATTAATGTTTTACAAATAATAGAATAGAATAAAAGGAATAGCCACATTAACTGATGTTGGAGCATCGGCCACAAAAGAGATGACATTGTTAAGGAACTGAACTATCTTTCTCAAAATATTTATTGAACAGGATTTCTGAATGTTTTATTTTGTGATTTTAAAAAAAGGAAATATAGTGAGGCAAGGCAATCTGTAATATAGCCTTTGGTGCTAGGAGTTGGGATTTTGAAACCGAGCCAATATATAATAACTGTGCATGCCAATGGCAATGACATCACAAAATAGTCCTTTATGGGATTATCATTGAAATATCTAGGCTTCATTATCTCTTAAACTCCTGTGACAAAACTGTGATTTTGCTGAGCATTATGATTGCTGTGTACATCACTTTTGAAAAGAAAATAATATTTACATGCAGATGTCTCTGCCTCTTGATGTTGAAAATTTAGATATCCTAGAATGAAAACCACTGCAGGCAGTGGGATATGCATGGGTTATCAAGAGGCATGTGGGCATTTTATAAAGGCAGCTAAGACAAATCTGTACTTTCCATAAGTAAAGTAGGGTTTATTGATTCTTTGCATCACAACAGGTTGTGAGTAATATACACCATGTGAGTGGAAGGAGTATAGAATAAAACTGCGTCTGCACTTACTGTTAATGACTGAAGTAGTAAGGAGCAAATCAGAGTGAGTCCGTGGCTTCACAGAACTTTATAAGCAGTCTCCTAGGATACCAAAAGTGACCATGTGATTTATGTAATTAATATTCACAGTAGTCCCAATCCAGAGTTTATTACATAGAAAAATATCTCTGCTGGCCAAGTGGACAGTGTAGCCAGTTGTGAACCCTCTTCACCCTTTAGTGTGGGCAGGGCAATAGCTCAGCAAAATACTCCAGTGCACTCCAAATAGATTATCTGTATTAATATTAACACTATCACTGATCTGTGTAACAGATTTGTGTTAGCTTGAGAACTAGCAAGAAGCAATCCATGCACAGCTCTGATGTTAGATGTGGGATTTTTCTTCCTGTGCAGGGCCCTTTCTTACTTAACTATGACCTCTCTTTGTGAATCAGCCTTGTTGGATTGAATGACTTTCCAGGACTTAAAACATTTCCTAATTAGGCTGGACTGCATCTTGCAGCAGTGCTATTTCAGCTTGCTCCTAATCTATAGAAAGATTGTTTTATATATAATAAAATTATCAAGCTGTTATATTTCAATGTTAGAATACTATTTATAGAGGCTGCTAGTGAATTATTTGAAAACCATGCAATAGGTCAATCACTGTGGGGGTCATTCCATAGAGTTCCACATCTACATTTTGTAAAGACTAATGCGTTTTGCATCATAAATTGTAAATATTGTTAATATAAAGACCATTTAAAAACAATGTACCTATAAACATAACTGGTGACCATAGTTGTTACAACCTATTGATTTCAAAATTATTTATGTGTTTGTCTGGGAACATAAGATTGCACTAACTCTGATTCTGGAGCTGGTGTTAAAACAAAGCAGGTTTTCTGTAGTACAGAGAAATCAACAAAACAGAATTTTTGTAGTCTCATTCTCTGTGTTGTCAACTGAGTAAATAGTTTGCCTTATACGATACCCCCAGATTCCAGGTTCATACTTAACTGGAGTATTATGATAATATGGTAAGAACTGGGTCATTTAGTATTTTCTGAAAGACATTTCCTTTACAAAAATGTTACCAAAAATTAACAAAGAACAATGTTGAAAAAATATAAACAATATTGTGCAATCCAGTGAAAAGCCACATACATAAGGAACAGGATGTAGAAATGGCCCCCAGGTGTATGAGTTCCCTCACCAGCCTAACAGCTGGAACCAGATCCTCATTCCCCATTAGCAGAGGGAATTGGGCTGGATTCCGACTCCACTCCTAATTTCCTGTCCTTACCAAAGAGCTGATTGGCAGTATTTTAACATTTTAATAAGGGCTTCCATAGATAGTGCTGACTGCTCAGTGCATACTTCGGATTGCTCAGATGCACACATAAGCTTTTCTTATGTAATCATCCATTTTTGCTCACTGAATAAAAATTAGCTATGACACATAGATTTGAATGTAATTAAAATAATCCTGGGGGTATATCTATGTAGGACTCTGTAATAGACACATGTAGACAATCCTTTCCTGGTCTACTTTTGTTCATCTCCTCAGAAGGTAAGGCAAGCAGTCATGCTTGCAAGATTATGAGCAACTAATTTCATTAAAATGCATTGGGATAATCTCAGCTGTTGGATTGACTCAAGAATGTGGGTTTGGACACATGATCTGCCTTCTACTGACAAAAGAGTTCATCTAGTGGACTTGTTTTCATAGAACTCAAATACAAGAGCTCACTCCATTGAACAGAGTCTCCAAACCACTGCTTGGCATTTGTAAGAAGGTGGAGCGGAGAGACAGCCATAAGGAGAGGAGTCAGGAAAGTTGAATGTGCTCTATCATTAAGAAAGCATTCATTCTATAGTACTGTAGTTTACTTACTAGATCTCAAGTATGTTTCTTCTTGTCAATACGAATTTTTCACTCACTTATTTGAAAAGCACAGGTAAAGATGTGCAAACATAATTATCTTAATATTCACAGTATAAAAGCCCTCCAGTACATTTTGCCATCATATATGACTTAGCTGTTCCCAGCACCTTCACAGCAAGGGTAATGTTCAGAGGTACAGAATTAAATACTTTCCAAATTTGAAAAGAGGATAGTTTCCCCAATTCTTAAATTGCATCATACCCAGAAAAGACATGGTGTCTGGCAGCGTATCACCACTTAGTGGTTTGGGTATGGGATGTGTGCACATACATTTAGGATGACTTCAATGAAATGATGAGAAAATGCATTTAAACAGTACAAGGCATAATATTTGCTCACCTTTCTGAACAATTGAAATGACATTTTTTTATTGTGACATCACAGATGTGTGCATGGAATCAAATGATTTTGTCTTGAGCAGATGCAATACCATGTTTTCTCCATGTTTTGACTGATTCCCTTGTATCCATGTTAAACACAAGATAAACATCATAGGTCCAGTATGTTTGCTGTAGCCTAAGAACTGAAGATTTTGGATAAATCTTTGAGAGTGCAAATAAGTTCTGATTTGTCAAGTGTTTGTATCTTCTTTACGTCTATCAGCAGTTATGATTTTATACAAAAATATTTTTCGGGTGACTGCTTAAAATGTCTGTGCAAAGTGTCCATACTGTCATTCTTACCTGCTCACATGTGCATTTCTCTTTCACGTTTCATCAGGTGACATTGTCCTGAGATCTAGATACAAATTGAAGAGTATGAAACCATTATCTGCAGGTCATTCTATCATAGTTCTTGCTGCCTTGCTTTTTAAAACTTTCTTCACATAATGTTCTTGGGAGGAAAGAAGTTTTAAGTACTGACTTGACCCAGTTCATAACACATTTATCATATTCTCCATCTGAAGGAGTGCAAAGAGAGAGCACTCTGTGTGCATGTGTACGTGCAGTGTACATGTATACAAAATCCCCTCATCCCCACCAAAACTAGAGGGTAACACCATAGAAATTATGTATCTTAATTTCCTCCAGATTAGATATCTTTTGTGTTTATCATGAAATTGTACATGTTCATAGAGTATAAAGAAGAGACATTTTAATGTCTAAAATACAAAACGACAAAGTCATCCTCAGATTTTTTATTAGCTCAGAAATGCTCCAAATAATTACAAAAATATTAAATGAACAATATTTGTTTGATTGTTTAATTGCCCCCAGTGGGTCATGATAGTAGTTCTTGATAGTAGTTTTTGTTCAATATTACATCAGTGGGCAACTAAACTTTCCCATGTTCCTTTCCCAAATCTTTCCCAAGGGCTAGGATGTAGCAAGAAAGCATTACACAAGTGGATGTCTGCTCTCCCAATATCAGGTTAAAAAAAATCACAGATGCAATTTCATCGCTAAAGCTGCTTACATTAGCAGAACTGGGGGTGGGGTACTCTGTGCACCTTCAAAGCCTGCATGAGAAGGCTGGGGAGATATTCTGGAGATATGCAGGGCTGAATATGGTAAAGAGGGAAAGGAAAGGAAATCCCATTACACAAGCAGGTGTCTCGTACCGTGACACAGGATTTAGGTTACTAGATTTGTAACTTACTGTACGTTAATTGATCTTATAGCTGGGAAAACTAAAGGTTGCTTGCTAGTTTGTCAGTAGCCTGCATTTGCTTTAGTACTGGTGTCAACAGAACTGTGTAACTCAATTAGTATGATTAAGCAACAAAGCAAATATGACTTGTAAATTTATGACCATATATGGAACGACCCTAGTGAACGTGAAGTAATGCTCCCAATATTTTTTAAAGGTAGAAATAAAGCTGTGGCTGAGAGATAATTGTGAAAATTCTCTTTTGCCTCTCCACAGCTTTCCCCGAATTTGGCAAGACTGTGATAGCATATTTTAAAAACAGAGTACATTTCAGACTTGTTGACTCCAGCTTGTACTGGCTTCCAGGACATAATGTATCCCCTCTTGTACTGCAGCCATCTTGAGGAAATTGGTCATTTCTGTTTCTGTTTGGGAAGTTTTTGCACATAGCTTTGCTTTTCACCCTAACGATTCTTCCAGCACCATTCTGCTAATTAAAGAAGCATTGGTTCCAGTATTTTTTCCACAAATTTTTCAACTTTGTTTGCTTCTTGAAGCTGGCAGTTCTTGCACGGGCCATGTGCTTTTTCTAGGCTACAAATGTAAGGTATTCCTTACTAACTGCAGGGTCTCTATATATTACACCTCAGTGTACACACTTTGCTGCTACTGTTTGTACTGTCTACAGTAGAATTTCCTTATCTTGCTCCTGGTAGTGCATTACAGGCAAGCATGAAATGTATAAAGTATGTATTTAAATAAAAACTTTAAATTGGTAACTGATTACCTCCCTGTAGCTTTAGAGTTTGTGGAATTTCCTGACCTTGCTAGTTCTTTCATTAGATTCTTGACAGATCTAGTCAAATGGTTAAGGACATAAAGCAGACATGACTATAAAACCCAGGCAACCGTATTACTGTTGGTCATACTTAAATTGTTTATTTCCTTAAGTATATGACCCTCAAGGATGTGAAATAACTACAGCCATTTTGTATACTGTACATCCTTAGTATTTTTACACATATATGATAGGGATGCACATTATTTTCCTTCGTACAGACAGCTTAAATAAAGCACTATGTCAATCTGCTACTTACGTGTTTATTATTGCTTTTCTTTTCAGGCACAAATGTAACAGTTGCAACAAAGGAGGGTTTAGAGTTATCTGTGCTTTTTAGGTGGAACCAGTTATACTGTATATCCCATGAAAAAGCAACACGTGATTGCAAATTACAGCAGATACCATGTTACAGTACAGTTCAGAAAAGTATTTAATGGAACATGCATTATATAAGGTTTGAGTAAAAGCAGTTCTGAATTATTTAATTTCATTCTGAAAATATTTGTGCATTCTCTCATCATATATTACCTACATAGCTGATAAATAATGCCATATATCCTGTTAAGCTGGCTTCAAATCTTTTATAACTTAGACAATTACTACTCCAGTAGCAGTAAAACTGCCCTCCTGTATGGAGATTTCTCCTTTCTGATAGGGCTAAAACGCCCTTAATGAAAAATGGTTACTAAATGTTAGCTGTGTACAACATACGTATTACCCAGAGAACTCACTGTCTAAAAAAAAAAAAGAATGACTAAGAAAGATGCACAGAAATAAGAAGCAGGGTTTATAGCAGGGTTTGTGAACAGGCTTGCTAAGAAGAAAAGTAAAATAAGGAAGACCAAATAAGAGGGGGGTTGAGTGGATAGGATTTTAAGAGCAACAGAAAAAGTACCAGAGCATGGTAGGTACATTTTAAGAAAGCATTTATGATATAAAATGGTGCTGCAGGTGAAAAATGAAAGTTTCTAGGCTGAGAAACGGAGGTAATGGATATGAACAGAGGAGAGTGAAAAGGCTACTAAGGCAAAGCTATGAGAATAGGAAGAGGAAGTTGACTGAAGAAAGCAGAAAATTCTGATTATGTCTGGTTTTCCCAGATTGTAGAAAAATAATATATTTAATTTCAGATGTGGAACTGACTTAGAAAATACGGCCAATATGGCACCGTGCAGAAACGGTAAACATTTTGTTACCTTTCAGTAGCATATATTAGAATGCATGTGGTGTCACTTGAAAAGCAGTGATTTCATGATTTGTGAAGTCAATGAATAAGTTTGTGAACAAAGAATAGATTCCAAAAGAATTCTAAAATACATTCCAAGTGATTTTTTTTATTTTCAAAAATTATGTTTTATGTAAACTATTTTCTTTCTACAGACCAAGTAAAATAGGCTAAGCAAACGTTACTGTGTTGAGATTGTTAGCTTATTAAAATATCCTTCCCCAATTCAAGTATGTAGTCTGGCCATAAAATAATCTTCATAAACAAAGGCATTAGAAGCAAAACAATAAAGGCTCCTACAGACAGGGCAGAAGTGTTTCCCTCTTTTCTCCTGATTAGTTGTGGAAGAGCACCCAGCTTACCAGGTCAGACTGGGGTTTAGAAACTCCTTTTCTGGAAATGCTTTCTACCTGAAGAAAACCATATAGTCTTTTCAAAATCTTTTTTAAAAAATTACTCCCTGCCAGTTCTGCTGTTCTTGAACTTCTGTTATTGTTAGTTTTCAATCTAATCAAAAGCTTCCAATCAGAAGCTCTGGCCACGCAACAAACCTCCACATACTTTTGATCCATTAGCTCTAAATACCATCTTGAATGCTAAAAAGAAGGGAAAAAAACATTCCTGGCCAGGGATTATGCTCTGGGGCTATTTTGGTTGGTTGGTTGGTTGGTTGGTTTGTAAGAAATACATTGAAATCTTCTGACTGGGAAGTTGCTGTAGGGTTGAATTCTGTCCCCATAGAAATCTTGAACAAAAAAGAACAATGCCTTGCAGGAAAGACATTTTCACATGGAATGCCTTTGTTCTTTGAGTGTTTATCACTAGTCATAACTATTCAAGCCTTATGCCATATTTTGGAGGAGGGGGCAGCTGGAACTTCAGGAACTACTCTGGTACATTTCCCTTGGGGGAAAGGCCCATCTGAAGGAGTCTTCCATCATTCTTTTGCCTTTTACAATTGATCTTCAGTGGTTGTATGCACAGAGCATTGTTACATTAGCAAATTTCACATTTTGAATACTTAATGTGTGTTTAGTTCATTGTTTTCATGGCCACTTTCATCTTGGTGAAAGAGGCACAATGGCTACTCTTCAAAGCATAAATGATTTTCGTGTCCTACCTATACAAGTTCAAAGGTTTTTGTGTGGTTGCTTTCATTATCAGAAATGAAGAAATCAACTATTAAATCAGCTAGCATTCTTGAAAAGAAAACATGAAATTAGTCTCTGATCACAATCATCTATGTGAACAATTTTCACAGATTATTCAATCTCCAAAACCCCAAAATCATTGGAATAGACATTGTACTTTTTATAACCCCATTTATATCCACCCCGTTTCTCCCCTAGAATCTCCTAGGAGTTACCTCATTCAGCCATTGCCCAACTGCTGAAGTGCTTAGTTTTGGTAAGGGGACTGCACTGTGAGCCTCAGTTACATCAGCCATATATGTAATGGAGTTAATAACAACAGCCCAGATTCAATTGCTAGTGCCAGTGAGAGTGGACCATTGAGTCACTTGCCAAATGGTGAGTCAATACTTACGTAAATCCCATAGATTTGGTGGTATCTACTTTAAGTGCCATTGTCAACTGGATTCAGGCCAGTGTATTTCTAGCCTATTCAATTAAAAATAAAAGGAGAGTACAACTAAATAATAAAATATAGCAAAAAGTATAGAAACAACAACTTCTGAGAGCAGCAATGAATACAGTGCAACCAACATGTCCAAAACCAAGCACAGTTTTATTCAGTAGAACTGGCAGCAACATGGTAGACTTTAAAAGGCTTTTAAAATTAGAATCCTCTCTGTTTCTAGCATTGCAACATTATGTAACATAAAATTCCAGTCTCTTGTGTTCATGTAACTGGATCTCCTGCTATGGCAGGATCTCCAACAATGATCTTCATTCTCAGAGACATAAACAATTGGGTGATCCTTAGTCTGTTCTTAAGGCATTCCAGTCTTTTAGCATTTGAATAATAAAGGCTGGTATACATACATGTGTGTATTATATTTTGCCAATAACGGAATCTGCAGTTCTCCAAATTGCTCCATATGTCAAGTTAATTCAAAAACTAATATATATAATGCTGAAGAAGTAGCCAGTTAGGGAGCAAAGACATTATAAAAGATAAGATGCACTAATGAAACTAATTAAAAGCTTATGGATAGGTTTTCATTGAGTGGTTGTGTCTGTTTCTAGCCACAGAGTTGTAGTCAGTACCAAATATATCAATATGGAAATGCAAATATTCTACAGTCTTAAAAGATGAGAAATAACTAAGGCATAATAAACAGGTCTTATAGTTGGTTCACACATTCCTTGTACATCACTTGATTGCATCATTTGATTCCTCTCAGCTGTATGTGTGTATTATCTCCACTGATACGTATCACATGACAACTGGTGATACAAAAATTCTATGTGCACTAATTAATCTATGCTGGCACATTCATATCTGTAAATCACTATGTGACATATTTTTCAACCAGTGATGGCAGCATGTGTAAACTGTGATGGAGATTATTAGGAAAGAAGGATCTTTAATAGGGCAGCAAAATGGGAGAAAAACCACACTAGACAACAGCAGGATAATTGGAAAGGCCAGAAGAAAGGCAGGACTAGGCTGTGTGCTTGGCAAACAAATGGGATATTGACAGCTTAGTAGAGTTTGTGCAGAAACATCTCCCAGTCATGTAAAGGTAATGCCAGGACAGCAGAAGAAATGGCTGAGAGCTGAGAACCAAAGAATATTACAATTACTTAGAGGGCTGGGTTTTGTGAGCAAACAGGAAGATTAGATGGGAATAAATTGTTGAAGGGAAGCAGAATAACAGAGTTGAGTTAGAGGAGGATGACAGATGGTTATGCATGTCCTTTACTTACCCTCAAAATCAAGCGGACTACAAACTTGAAACTTTGTCTGGATTGTGCCTTAGTAATGTGCAGACAAATTATTTTCACTTGAGTCAAGATTTATTAATATTGCAAACATTTTGATGACTACAGGGAGGAAGGATGTGGAGCTATTCCTCTTAAAATGTGCAAATTAAAATGCAGTGTTAGACTTTATTTGAAAACTCCAGAGAATTCTAATGAGTGCATACCTGTTCGCTTTAGCCTTTTTTGTAAAATGTCATAGTCTTACATCTTTTCTGTTTACTTTTGTCAAGCATGTACACCTTTATTTATTTATTTGAGGATTTTTTAAACCACCCTATGGATGAAAACTCAGGGTGGGTGACATTAAGAAACATTTTAATCATGTATTTAATAAATATTTATTACATATTTATAAGGGTGAATGAAATTATTCGCTTACAAATTTACATTCAAAGCAAATAAACTGTCAGCTTTTATTTACTTCCAAACACATTTGTAAAACACTAAAGACCAAGGACTTTCATACAGAATACTGCAAAGCATTGATAATTCCTACTAGTGATGAATGCTTAAAACCATGTCCGACCTAGAGGACGTGAATGCATTATCAAGCATAGGGTTACTTGTCCAGATGATAAAATATTCTGGTTTAATCCAACCAGAGAAGATTCATTGCAACAATGGAATTTTCACAAGTATTAATGTACCATTTAGGATTTGATTGATCTATTTTAGTTGGGATAAGAAACTAGATTTTGGCTGATAAATTTATAACTTTCACTTGAATTGTCTACAAATTTAAAACATCATATGCAACCCAAAGTTCACTTTACAACATACTATCTCATTCTCCAAATGTAGTCCAGTAGAATTTGCCAGGAAACAGTCTGTATCGTTGTTGTGGGTTTTTCGGGCTCTTTGGCCGTGTTCTGAAGGTTGTTCTTCCTGATGCTTCGCCAGTCTCTGTGGCTGGAATCTTCAGAGGACTGGAGTAGGAACTCTGTCCATGCTCTGTTGCTGTTTGTTGGATAGCTGAGTATTTATAGCTGTGGGAACAGCTTTTGTCCTGTTCAGGAGATAGGGTGATATGCGTGTTTTTGTTGTGTGATAAGGGGGGGAGAGATTATCTGTCACTGTGATTGATGGGTGTCGTTAGCTGGTCTTTTTTGTGCAATGATCCCTGGTTTTATGGTTCCAATATATACCTCTCCACAACTGCAAAGCAGTATTCACACCAGAATCAAAGAACATGAGAGGCACTGCAGACTAAAACAACCAGAAAAATCAGCAGTAGCTGAACATGCCCTAAAACAGGCTGGACATGAAATTCTATTTCAAAATACTGAAGTACTGAACAACACCAGCAATCATCATGTTAGACTGCACAGGGAAGCCATTGAAATCCATAAACATCAACAGAACTTCAGCAAAAAAGAAGAAGGCCTAAAACTAAATAAGGCCTGGCTTCCAATACAGCGGTGCCCTGCTTAACGGCGATAATCCGTTCCAGAAAAATCGCCATTAAGTGAAAACATCGTAAAGTGGAAAAGAAAACCAATTGAAACACACTGAAACCCCTTCAATGCGTTCCAATGGGGTCAAAACTCACTGTCCAGCGAAGATCCTCCATAGGGC